AGTGCCTTGCCCCTGCCCCGCTGCCCAGCCCTGTGCTACCGGTGCCCACCTCTCCCTCTCTTGCAGGGTCGGTGTCCGCCTGGTCCCGGCCCTCGCCGAGGAGGGGAGCCTGAAGGTCCTGCAGCAGCTCCGTGTAGATTGGCCCTCTGGCTCCGGCGGCTTAGCCCTCCCTGACACTGTTTCAGCCTTGAAGCGAGCGCTGGGCCAGTCACCCTGTGCTGCAACTTGGGAGCAGGGGCCAGGCACAGGCGTGCTGCCCGAGGATGTCATCTGTACAGTGCACTTGAGGAGCTTCGTGGAGCAGCAGGGCTTGGTGGGCTATGACCCCAATCTAGATGTCCTTCTTGGTGAGCCTCACATGTACACTGTCTCTAGTGTGACAGCAGGGAGGTGGCCGGCTGCAAACAGGCCGGTTTCCTTTTTCCCAATTATTTTTACATAAGGGGCATTCAGATCCAAACTGCCTTCTCCTTTTATTCCCCTTCAGTCTGGTTTCAGCCAGAAACGCAGACAGCCTGGGGGAGCCCTGATGGGGTGGGATGGCAGAGGGGTGGCAAGCCCTCATGTCCTGCTCTGAATGTCCTTCCTCCTTTCAGTCACAGAGGGGAAGCTGCGGTCCCTGGCTGAGCTGCAGCAAGCCGTCCTGCAGTGCACAGTGAGTAACCTTGCCGGCACTGCCTGCCTCTCGCTTTCCCAGTGTTGTTTCTTTCTGTCTGACCTGTGAGCTCCCTGCTGTGCTCCGCTGCAGGCTGGAGGCCAGGGGAGCTGCTGCAACATCGTGCATGTGGTGAGCTGCGAGGAGGAATTCCAGCAGCAGCAGCTGGATCTGCTGTGGAGGATTTTGGATCCAGGGCCCCACACAGCTTTGCAGGTGAGGAACCTCCCACCCTCCTCACTGTGGCCCCCAGCATCTTTGCACTCAGCCAGCCTCCTTCAATCCTGCAGCGAATGCTGAGGCCCAGCCTTGCCCCCTTGTGAGGTTTCCTTTTCTCTTTTTCCCTCCACACTCTTGCCCAGGTGGTGGAGCAGCTTCTCTGTCCTTGGGATTTCAGTGCTAAAGAAGCAGGGGCAGGAGAAGACTGGGGGGACGCAGCTAGAACAGGGCTGTTTTTAGTCCAGTTCTCCTGCAATGTGTTTTGGTGGAGCTTCTTTGACCCCAGCCCTAGCCTCACCTCTCCCTTTCAGAAACATCTTGTCTGTGGGCCAGTGAAGGTGACAAACCCCTCATCACCCATCGGGGCAGACCAGTACTTCCAGTAAGTTGGTGTGCAGCAGGGTGCCTGCTGTACTGCTCACCTGCAAAGGCTCCCTGTGCCCTGCTGGGTCCCATGGGCACCCAGGCAGCCACGCTGCAGCGCTGAGCGAGCTCTGCCACATGGAGAGTTCTGTAAAGTTCCTGCATTCTGCTCTTCCATGGCCTCAGGGCTGTTTTGAGAGGACTGGAGGTGCAGAACAGAGGTGCCTTCCCCACTCCCAGTGGCCTCCTCCAGCAGTGCTGCTTCTGGCCCTCTTAGTGCTGCCAGGGGGCTGCCAGGAGGAGAGGCAGTAGCAGGAGCAAGGCGCTGCAGTGGTGCAGGGTGGTATCTTTCTGCCTTCCCGTGTTAGAGCATGGCCTTGGCGTGGGGACAGCCCTTTCTCAGCCAAGAGGCAGAGCCTGTGCCTGGCGCAGGGGCTTCCTCGTGGCCCTCTCCAGGCAGCGGCACAAGGGGCTAGCCACAGTGTGGCTGTCCCTGCCCGGCTCCTCGAGGTTGGGTACTGCTTTTGCTTGGCTGGGTCACTGCTGCAGCTGGGATGCCCCAAGAAGCCTGAAGGCTAGTGGAGCCCTGGGACGCTCTCTGGGGCCAGTTCAACCCAGGGGTGGTGGCTGTGAGTGTCTGTTCCTCCCAGGCTCCGAAAGCGCCAGATGTATGAAGCCTCTGTGATGAAGTACGGGGAGCTTGCACAAGGTGAGAGTTTGCTTTGTGGCTCTACGTGGATGCTGCTCTATCTATCTCCATCTCTGCTGCTCCCATGAGTCTCCCATCTGTGTCTGCAGCCAGTGGGGCTCTCACCTGCATGGTGCTCCCTCTCCCCTCTGCCATGAAGCCAGGTGCTGACCTTAGTTGGGTGAAGGCGTCTAAACCACCATGCAGGGCACCAGCACAGAGCAGCACCTGCAGATGGGGGCCAGTGGGCGTTCCTCCCTGGATGCTGGGGGTAATGTTATGCAGGAATGGAGCAAGCTGTGCCTAATGCCACCTGTGCTCTCCACAGATCAGGCCTGGACTGAGGTGATTGATACACTCACTGTGGCTGCCATCAGGTTTGAGATGCTGAGCACTGCCCACCAGAGTCAGGTAGGACAGTGGTTCGTGCAGAGTGGGGGCACGCAAGCTGTGGGAACATCAGAGCGGCCTGGACTGTGACTGCACCAGGGGAGGTTTAGATTGGATATTAGGAAAAATTTCTTCACCGGGAGGGTGGTCAAGCATTGGAACAGGCTGCCGAGGGAGGTGGTGGAGTCACCATCTCTGGAAGTGTTCAAAAAACGTGTGGACGTGGTGCTTCAGGGCATGGTTTAGGGGGCATGGTGGCGCTGGATTAATGCTTGGACTTGATGATCTTGAAGGTCCTTTCCAACCTTAGTGATTCTGTGATTTTTCCTGCCTTCAGATCACCCTGGACCTGGAAGACAGCAGCATCTCCACAAAGGGAACCAAAAGCGGTGCCTTTGTGATGTACAACTGTGCCCGGTTGGCCACGCTCTTTGACACCTACCAGCGGGCTGTGGAGCGGGGTGAGCATCAGCCCCATGACCCTCCTCGAACAGCCACTCCTGGGCTGTTCCTCATGCCTGCAGCCACAGGGGCTTCTCTGGGCACAAGAAGTCTCCCACCTCCTTTCCAGGCACATACCCTCCTCTGCCACCAGCATCAGAACTGAACTTCTCCTGCCTCCGGGAGGAGGTGAGTGCTGAGAAAGTGAATACAGGGACCTGTGTGCCCTTAGCTCCAGTGATGGATGCTGCTTGCCCAGGAGGGTCCGTCCCTCTCCAACACACATAATCCTTTCACAGGGTGAGTGGCTCCTGCTCTTCAACTATCTCCTTCCCTTCCCCGAAGTCCTGCAGCAGGCAGCGCAGCTTCCCCCATCCAGCAAGGGGATTCGCATCACAGCCAACACAGAGACAGTAAGTGCCATGTGCCAGAGCACCCGTGGGTGCTGCTTCACCAGTGCCAGCCCCAGGGCAAGGCTATGTGCTACTGGTGAGTGACACAGGGGTGGTGCTGAGGGAAGAGACTGCAACACCCCTGGGGCTGCTTCTGCTGTGCTTGGGGTGGAGAAGGGCCCAAGACCAGCCAGACCCCCCTGTCAGCAGAAGCTCTCTGTCTGCAGGTGTGCAAGTTCCTGATCCAGCTCAGCATGGATTTCAGCTCCTACTACAACCGGGTCCATATCCTGGGGGTGAGTCAGATGTCCCAGGCCATTTGCTGGAGGGTTGCAGCCCTGCAGTCCTTCCTGGAGCTGGACTGCAATTGTGGGGCTTTGCAGTGCCAGGGGTGTGATGCAGCCTTGCACCAGTCCCTCGTGGATGTGTCTGCAGGGTGCAGAGGCAGCAGTGCCTCTAGGGCCAGCCCATCCAGGGGATGCCACCAGCCCCAAGTTGCTGCCTTTCTCCCTGCAGGAGCCATTCCCTCACCTCTTCGACCAGATGTTTGCACGCCTCCAGCTGCTGGGAGCAGTGAGGGATGTGTTCCACAGCGCCCTGGCAACTCTGCACCTCCCTCCTCTCAGCCAGATCTGAGTCACCACTGAAGAGCCGTGCCACAGTGTGACAGGGATGAGGACAATGTGCCATGAGGGGAAGGAAGGGGCACATCCTCCCTGGCAGGGTGACAGACTGCCTTACGGTCAGGCAGGGAGCCAGTGGACACCTCAGCCCCATGCATTGAGGATTTGGCTATACACACCCCATAGCTATGCCCAGCGTGGGAGATGGGTATATATGCCACATCCACATCAGCAAAAGGGAGGAGGCGTGCAGCACCCTCCAAGCAAGGCTGGGGAGTACCAGGGGAGGCAGCACCAGGGACCACAGCACCACAAAGCCAGGCACCAACCTCGCTTCCCTCAAAGTTGTTTATTGAAGGTTGCTCCATGCTGGCAGGGAGCTCCTGAGGCTCAAGGCTCCCACACTGGGCCCTGGACCAGGCCCTGATACCGGAGTCCAATACACTTGTTGCTCGACAAATACTGTGTGTGTCTGACCCCAGCAGAGCACCTTGCCCCATGCAGGGCCACATGCAGCTTCTTGCCCTTCCCTGTGCTCTGACTGTGCTGGGACCTACTGCTGTGCAGAACAACTTGCTCAGCTTGAGGCAGGACTGAAAGAGTGGGTAGAGATGTGGTTCAGGCTGGCACAGCACACCTTGGGCTGCAGCCACTCACCCTGCAGGGTGCTGTCTGTGGAAGATCAGTGTCCCCACTCCTTTCAGCACAGTCCCCAGCACCCCAGGGACAGGGCAGGCACACAGGGCCCTGTCCCAGGGAGCATGATGCTGGACCCTGCTACACCAGCACCTGACTGGTCTTGGCCTCAAGCTCCCAGGGCCAGGCACAGCACTCGGCACCCTCCTGCACAGGAGGAACTTGTGTGCAGGGTGGGCCATGACAACCCCATTCCTTTATTGCCTGGAGAGCCATAGGCTGGTGCAGGATGGGCCACACCTGCCTTCTCCCCCTGAATCCACCAGCCTCAAGCACCCCAGGTGATGCTTTGCTGTCCCCAAGGGCCCAAGCACACCCATCTCAAGAGGCAACACATCAACACAGGCTGGGATAGGCTGGGGTCATGGGCAGGGTGCCCACCCCAGGCCCCAGGCAGGCAGGGAGCAGGATATGCTGCTTGCCTGCCCCGTTACTGGGGAGCCTCTGGTGGCAGGGGCTCAGTGGGGGCCATCCCGCACAGCATCTCCAGGCCCTGCCCGCAGAGTATGCAGTAGTAGCGCAGCTCCCCGCCAGCCTCTGCCACCTCCCAGCAGTCCAACTCTGCCAGGTCGGGCACATGGAAGAAAGTGGTGCTGAGCGCGTCCAGCCTGCCCGGGCCTCGGCGCCACAGTGTCAGGCGCTGGTCTACTGAGGCAGAGAGCAGCAGGTCCAGACGCAGCACCCGGATCCCTGTCACGTGGGCAGCATGGGCGCAGGGCCTGGCCACCTGCTCCAGGAGACGCAGGCAGGTCCCTGCTGTGCCCTTATCCCTGTCCAGGGCCACCTCCAGCAGGCAAACGTGGATGGAGCCATCATCGCTGCCACTGGCCACCAGGTACTGTCCCTCTGGTGTCTCGCAGACATGGAGGCTGTTCACACCACAGCTGTGGGCCATGACGGTGAGCAGCGGGGTACCCAGGGCTGGGAAAAACAGGCTTAGTCAGGAGAGTGACCCTTCCCTCAGCCAGAGGGAACAGAGGAGTCACCAGTATGGCCTCCCTTGGGAGGCAGGGCAGAGCTGCCAGCAGCTGCACCCACCCAGGGGCTGCATCTCTCCCTCTGCTCGGTGCAGGGCATCCACTGCATCCGCAATGGGGCTGGTGATGTCCCAGAAGGCGACGCTGCCATCGGTGGCCGCACTGCACAGGAGGTGCCTCCTAGAAGGGAGGCATTGGGGAGGCCTCCAGCTGCAGCCCTGCAACAGGCGGCCCCGAGGGTCCCCACCAATACTCAGGGAAGCGGCAGAACAGTTCCCACAGACTGATTTCTCCCT